GCGACTCCTGAGGGAGAGGCAGGCGCGGGAAGAGGAATCAGCTGACGGGAATCTATACAAGGATTTATTAGATACTTATCAAATATTACGGAAGCTTATCAACCGATGTATTTTATGATATGAAGGCATGTGCGGCCAAAGGTGTACTCAAAACAATTGCCTGAAAATGCGTTTGTTAATAAATGTTTTGTTCATTTAAACTCTCATCTACAACGTATCGATCGATGGTTATGTTATATATAAAAGATTAAAGTGACAAAATATCCAATAAATTCCTTTTCGGGCAGTTGCTTTGAGAACGCCCTTGGAAGCCCATGCCCTCAGATATTGCAGTATTTATTGCAACTTAATGAACACTCAATGAACTGGTTGATCTGATGAAAATGTTATGAATGTGTTTATTAGTCTCAGTTATATATTATATAAATGTAATTATTAACACCTGTTCAATATTATATGGATATTTTTACTAAAACATAATATTTATTATATTGCGAATGATTTTCATGGTGGTGATAATAATAACAGAACTAACAACAGCAAAAATATTAGTAATAATAATAGTATGGTTGGGTTGTATTTGATTTTGTTATCATCTTTATCATATTTGTTATTATTCATAGTATCCTTATCAATTTTCTGTATATCATCATGATTATTATTATATCCCATGTTATTATCATTCATAAGTATAATCTTTATCATTTATGGCCATGTACAGGTTATATAAACTAAGGAAATGGTTGTTGCAAATTGCACAGAGGTCATCAAGAGCAATACATACAAATGGGTTTATTGTAAGTGTAAAAATACAGGTGATTAAAATGCAAATTCTAATTACATACCACAGTAATGAAATGGAATTTGCATTTTTTCAAGATTTTTGTTTTAGTTAATTGGTATGCCCAGGGGAATTAATTTCATTTCTTACACATTACAAGTTCATAACTATTCATTACCGCAAAGAAAAATGACGTAAACAAAACGTTGTAACGCATATGTCAGCCATTCATATTTAAATCATGAAAACAATCAAAATTTAACTCGAAGATACGAACACAGGAGGCCAGTCGTGACTCCGACGACGAACAGCTGATGGTCGTCTTTAACTCGATCCCCCCTCCCCCCTCCCCCTTTCCTTCTCGGCTCTCTCCCTCTCCACCCACTCATCTCCTTCCTCCCCCTCCTTCTCCCTCTCTATTCTTCCTTCCTTCCTTCCTTCCTTTCCTTCTTTTTCTCATTCTTTCTTTCTTTCCTTCTCCTTCTTTCTTTCTTCCTTTCCTTCTTCTTCTCCTCTTTCTTCCTTTCCTTCTTTTCTTTCTTTCTTCCTTTCCTTCTTCTTCTCCTTCTTTCTTCCTTTCCTTCTATTTTCCACCTTCCGCCCTCCATTTCTGTATTAACATCTTCCACCTTCTACTTTCCTCCCTTCACTTCTATGTCCTCGTTCTGCCTAGGTCTTCACTCTTTCTTCCTCTCCTCCTTTTTTTGCTATCTCCCCTCTTACCTCTCTTCTCTCCTTTTTCCCCCTCCTTCCCCTTTTCCTCTTCGTGCACTTCCCGGACTTCTCTTTTCCTGCTCCTCCCTCTCTCCCCCTCTCTCTCTTTCTCTCGCACTCTTTCCCCTTTCTCCCTCTCACCCTCCTTCTCCTCCTCTCTCTTTCTTCTGTGTATCTCCATCCCCTCCTCCTCGTCGTCTTTTACTTCTGCCTTCTACCCTTATTTCTTCTTCTCTTCCTCTTCATCCTCCTCCACCGCCTCCCATCCCTTTCTCTTACTCTTCACCCACTTCCTCCTTCCCCTCCTCCTGCCTGTGTTCTTCCCCCCTTCCCTTCTTTCCTCTCCCTCTCAATTCGCCTCCTCCTTCTCCTCTTTCTCTCACTCCTACGTACTCCCCCGCTTTCCCCTCCCCATTGTCCCACTCCTCTTCCTCCTCCCCAACACCCATGTCCTCCTTCTCCTCCTCCTACCTGTATTCATCCTTCCCCCTCCACTTTCCCACTCCCTCCTCTTCCTCCTCCTCCTCCTTCTCCTCTACCTCTTCCTCATCTCTCCATCTCCTCCTCCCCTTCACCTTTCCTTCTCCTCCTCCTCCTCCTTTCTTTTCTTCTTCTTCTCCCCCTCCTCCTCTTCTTCTCCTCTTCCTCTTCCTCCTCTTGCTCCTTCTCCTCCTCCTCCTCCTCCTCCGTCATCCCAGGAGACAGAAAATCAGTCAGCCTAGCGTCCTCCCGCCGAAGCTGTGATCGAGCGTCTCTCAGTCTTGCCGGAAATGAGATCGTAATTGCACAGCCAAATTGACCGCTTGTCAACTTGTCTATTTCGGATTAAATTTTCTGAGGTACTAATCAGCTGTTGTATGAAGTTTCTGAGGTACTAATCAGCTGTTGTATGAAATTTTCTGAGGTACTAATCAGCTGTTGTATGAAATTTTCTGAGGTACTAATCAGCTGTTGTATGACGTCATCGTGTCAACAAACTTCGGCGCTGCGTTAGAGATCTCGCGT